GAAGCTTGTTGACCATTTAACGCAGGGAATTAAAGCAAAGTGTAAATAAGAAAAATGTTTTAAACTTTATTTTTTTGCTTTGTATACATCTTTGTAAGTATGGCCTATGGGCGCCGCCATCTTGCTTACTGGGGGGTACTTAGGTACACTGTGGGCCGCGCCATAATCTGACTACGTCTTCTTCTCAAGGCATCGTAGTTAGGTTATGGCGCAGCTCACGCGCTCTCCAGCTAGGAAGATGGCGGCGCCCAGGGGACGTACCTGCAAATGTGTATATGTAATCGATCACTAAAGTTATTTTTGGTGCAAATGAACTTCTAAGCAAAAAATCTTTTAGGTTGCAAATTTGCGACATCGAGCAGTTAGGCCTGGACAAATAGGTTATACTGTTTCACCTTACATCCGGATGCAGAGGACGCTACGTTACAACCTCGACCTCCTGTGCTCTGGCCTCGGCCGCCCTAGCCTCAGCGTCCCCCAGTCAGGTCGGTCCTGGTCTCAACCTGCTCCATGCTGGCTTCAGCCTCGGTGGCCCTGCCCTGGTTTCGGCCTCGTTGGCCCAGGCTTTGACCTTATTAGCCCTGGCTTCGGCCCCGGTCTGAGGCTCACTGGCCCTGGTCTCGACATTGTTGGCCCAGGTCTCGCCCTCCTTTATCCGGGACTCCTTGGACCTAGCAGAGGCCTCTTCAGCAGAGGCCAGGGCAGGTACAGCGAAGACGGGTCCTCGAGCTTGTGATGCAACGTCCTCAGGATCCCCAGAAGATGCACGGAGCTATAAACAGAAAATATAAGCAGTAATGATAGATTATCAGAGTTGTACAACAAAGTATAACATTGGAAGTCCTAAGCAACTGCTTCCCAGAAGTGACCTCTGACTGACCCGCAAAGCTGCATTCCCGTTGCCACCAACTTTTTCTAATGCTGAGGAAAATAACATCATATGTCATCTGCCCTCACAGTGCAAAGGTTACTGAAACAGTATATCTAGTCTCCAATTACTTCAGCATTCTGAACAGCTTGCAGTTTGCATGAATGAATAATTGATAAGTACACTTGAAAAAGCAATAATGACATTGATTAAAATATATCTAACCAAGCACCAAAATGGCAACATTATATAAATCTGATGCGCTCTCCATAAAGCTAACACTTTCTAACAAAAATGTTGTTATACATACCCTGTGACCTTTCAGCTCCTGGCGAAGCTTTTTGAGAAGCTTGTCCTCCACAGTGTCTTTTTTTTTTTTTTTCTTGTGGGCTGCTTGTTCTGCAACGAGTGATTTCAAGAAAAAAAAATCAGCAAGTTTTTGCAAAATTTCGAAAGACGTTGCGAACGTCGCTGTTGAAGCCGCAGGATCACAGCGTGGTTCATGTTCCGAAGTTCCGCGATTATAAGCTGCGCCACTGTAAACTCATTTCCTTGACGTCACACTTCGAGCAGAAGAAGCTCTTGTCGAAAAAATAATCAGCGACGGACTCACCCGGTCTGTGTCCGCCGGAGCATCATCTCGTAGAGTGCGAATCGTCATCATCGGGGAACACCATCTGTAGTTCTTCAGCCCATTTCGACCAAGTTTCCAGTCGCTTCCCGGTCGTTGGATGCCACTCAAGCCGTCCCGCTCACCTTCGATGAAGCAACAGCGAGCGTTATTTCATCGCTCCACCCGGACTGCGTTGCGCCGCCACCGTGTTGATATGCGCCTCCCAGTCCCGCGCACTTCATGGCGCTCGCTGCCGACGACGAGTCAGAGAAGGCGGGAATGGACGCCGTCAAGTCTGGCATCGCGGTCACCGATGCGAAGCCCGGTTGCGACGCCAGGGTCCGTACGAGCTCACGGTCCGCGGCCATGGCTGTGCTTTCTCGTCGAGTCAACGGGAACACTGAACGGCCTCTCGTCGGTGGCGGAAACAATGGACGCGCACCACCGCCCGCGAAGAAGACTCACGTTCATCGGCGTGAACGTGGCTGTCGCAGCCACCACTGTTCCGGGGAGGCTCAGCGGTAATCCCACTTCGGAATGCTAAAGTTTTCGAAGTAACATCATCGAACGTTCATAAAAAAAACTGGTTTATTTAAAGACAACAGAACTGACGGCTGATCAATCCGGCACCATCTGGATGATTGTATGGGTATGGATACTACTGCGGCACCTTGCAACGCACTTTGTAACGGGCGGTAGCTTGCGCCACCTAGCTTAAGTCTAAAAAGCGACGTATTTGCAAACGTGGTCGGTCACGCTCGCGACTGATAGAAATACCAAGAACTCAAACGCGTCACGACAGCAACAGACCCCAAATCATTCGAATTTTAACACTGCAATGAAACCACGCGGAGCTCTCAGACGCAGACACGATGAAGCTTGTTTTTTCTGCGTCGACGAAACTCAGGAGCATCGATTTCGCGACCCGGTGCACCACTACACAAACTGCACTGCTTTATAATCCGACTGAGAACTATCGACGACAGAAGATTGCTCGTCGATGTTGGTGGGGCAAATAACACGTAGCACTGATGATTAAACGATGGAATTACAGACGTAGTCGGTCATGCTCGCATATTTGTTGATTGTCACCAAGCAATCACTTTCTTTGTACGCGGTGTTCGGATTCATCCGCCAAGCGCCTGACTTTTGCGGGTTGCGATGTGATATCAGCCTCCCGAAGCTGGTGGATCAAACGGTAATAGCGTATCTCACTCGCTGTTGCAGGCTGCTCACCGCGTCCGTGTAACCAGAACGAACTGGAAACGACAACAACTACGCTGAGACTGCAGCGGCTACCTTTCATATTCCTGAAGATATCAACTAAACGTACCTTTCACAGTTTTTCTTGCGCTCTTGTGAGGGGTAACCACTGCGTCAACGCAACTATTGTTGTCGTTTCCAGGCGGCTCATTTCTTGATCGCCCCGCCGGGAAGCTACGCGTCCACAGCGTGTGCGCAACTTATAATGGTCACTACACTCATTCTGGGACGGTGCAATCGCAGACGTAGTCGGTCACGCCTGCCACCGGAACGCTGAGAACTCGATCAGGGGGCTCACGTACAGCACTGAAACGCCACAGCGCTCGAAACAACGCGAGCTGCTGACGCCATTTCATGACACAGACACAGCGACGAAGCACAATGTTGTCCTCATTTCATGGTGAGCGCAGCTAAGCATACTCGGTGCATGCTCTGATTATCCTTTCAGCGCACTTCCATAGTAAACTTTTCGTTCACTAAAAGAAACCTTAGAGAGGCAACTGATAAGTCACTGCACGAATACTTACAAGATCCTTCCAGCTTACTTCCATAACGTTCTTCTAGTGCACTAAAAGATACCCAGGACAGGCTACTAGTAAGACGCTTCGCATGAACTTAGAAGCTACTTAGGTCTTAGCTAGTTTACTAAAAGTATACTATTACAGTACTTACTTCAAGCATACTAAGAAAGGACACTAATAGTACAAGCCTACTTCTGGCTAGCATCCTTTAAGGACAATTTTAGTATACTTCTTGAGAATGAGTACCTTAAAAGACCGTAAAGTATACTTAAAGTAACCTAGTTTTCGCTAAGGGAATATATCACATTACAAATTGAGAGCGTTAAGAGAAAATATTAGAAAGCTCGCAAATAGTTAAAAACAAGGAATGTTCAATACACTCCAGTTTTACTCTCCAGAAAACATGCAAAGCGGAACCTAACGTCATACAATGAGCTATCAAGGTTCGATCGTACGGATCACGCAAAACCTAGCTCATTCGAGCGGCACGTGAATGGGCTCCGCGCGTCGCGGCCTTTCTCGCGATGCGTGTCAGAAATGAAAGCGAATCTTCGGTAGACAGTTCCATTCAGACGCCCTTCTTTTCTTCTCTAAACGGCATATCGCCGATTCTGTGCTTACCAATCTTTGTCAGCTTGATCAAACTCGTAAAGCCTTTAATAAATATTTATTTTTTTTGCGTTTGGTTAATAATATTGCACATTCTAAAGCTTGGCGGTACTTTAAATCCAACTCCACGCAGATCTTATGAACCACGCAGATACCTTACCAAGTGAAATTTGCAAATAAGAAACATTAAATTACATCTTAACGCCTTTGTTATATGTTACCGTGATATAATTACCTGAGGACAGCAGCAGATGTAGTTCGGTTTTATTCATTGTAATTTTGTATTATACATAATCATCATTTTCAGAATACATAACAAAGTATCAGTTCATATTTTCTTTGTAAAATGAGATCATAACCAAGAAGTCAGTAGGTGTCGAAACAAAATCTACGCTCCATAAGCAACGTCTGAATAATGTAGTTGCACGTTTGTCATATATATATATATTTTTAAAATGGAATGTGTAGATCGCAACAAGGCTAAAAAAGCTAATCTAGAAATAAGCGGTACTTTATTTGTTTTATAATCACTGATAAACACTTTCGATTAACTAGAGTAATAGCTATATGTATCATATTGTAAAATGAGCCTCGCAGCTATAAGTATCATAATAAACTTTGTTTTTTAAAGATTATTTTGTAAACACTTCAAGGTTTTCCCGGGCAATATAAGGGCATATAAAATTGTATAACAAAACCAGTGCAAGGAGGGCAAAGGAAACTTTTCAGAAATATATGTTTAGGTGGTTCTCTCTATATAGTATGCCGGCCGAGATTAACGCTTCATCAGATTCTTTTACTAATTATATATACCAGGCTATCAAGAGTTTTCTTATACCTGTCCAATGGGAAGAGAAGAGGGTGTAGCGGTGTTTCTAAGAT